TTGCCGGACACGGAAAAAGACAAAAGACAAAAAAAATAAAAATAAAAATAAATGATCAAAGTCTCAGTCCATCCTCCTGCCTCCACCTCCTCCGTGTGTCCCTGCCACAGCCCCAGAGATGGGGAGGTGACCTGCTCTGCCATTTTCCACCCTCTAAGTGCTGCACGTAGAGGCTCTGGGTCAACTGGGGACCCAGATAATTCCAGGTTCAGCCACACATCCGTGCTACAGAGCAGAAAGGGCAAGGTCTCTGCTCCATTAGAGCACAGCCCGGTAACACCAAGGTCAAGGGTTCGGATCCCCTCACTGGCCAGCCCATGACTCCTGTTTACTATTTATCCACAGGTCAAAGCTTTGCAATTAACTACACTGTCTTCACCTCTAAATAAACTGCCCCTCCTCCTGCTCCAGACCGGAGTTCACCAGCTTCTTCCCCAGGACTCTGCCTCCTGCCAGTTCCCCTGGGAACAACTCCCGCCAAACGCAGCCGTTTCCAATACGCTCTCACACGTGGTAGTTCATTTGAATCAGGCTGAGCGTGTGTTACTGTCAATCTCCTCTGACAGCTGGGGAAACTGAGGCCCAGAGAGAGGGGCTTACTCAATGTCTTACATCCACCCTATTCCACCAATTCTAAGATGTTCTTTTCATATTTTAATATATCTGACATGGGGTGCACCCTACAGTTATGGCGGGTTCTCTTGTTCTCAGCGCTGTGTAAATGTGCACCTCACAACGATGCCTTCTTAGTTTCAGTGGAATACGGTGGCAGGTGGCAGAGCCAAGACACATCTGGTCCCCAACCCCTGGCTCCTTCCACCACTTGAGAGGTAACTAACCAATTCTTATATCACCAAGAGCCTCTTTTAGATTTCTCTCCATGGGCCCCAAGTTTTGAAAACAAGAAAACTTTTAGCCAAATGAGCTTAATATATTTTATTTCTCCATCCACATCTAATCAGTGTTAAACTGTAAGTAGAGTAATTCCTGCCTAAAGCAAAAAAATAGCTCTATCTTGTGCAGCACAATGTAAGACGAA